CACAATGGTAAACACAGTGGAAAACGTACGGCCTGAGAAAATTTATGCGTGTTGCGCATGCGAACGGACAACAATATAATCGCAACTATATCGCCGTCTTCCATCTCTTCGCTGCTTTGACTTTCCATAGGCATCGGCTTTCTTAACGAATTTCCTACGGGCCTAGATCGGGGTCGTACGAGGCGCGGTAGCGATGATGTACGTATAGCGTACAGCAGACAGGCAGGCTGCGGGAAAACATCACACACGCGCGCGCGCGCGCGCGCGAAGAACAATTTAAGTATACTAACAGCGTGTGCACTTGTGCTCTGGGAAGAAAAATGCCCCACCAGAAGTTTTGCAATAGTAAATCTGCGCGTCCGTTGGTTTCGCGGAAAAAGATCGAATCTTCCTCAGATTCAGTACGTTAGATACAAATCTCTTCTTATGGAATGTAGTTCGGTATTCACTTTGCAGATTTAACTTTCTCGACTTAAAAATAGACGCGAAGGACAATCGTAAAATCTAGAGGGAAAGAGACAAGTAATTGAATTGTAATTAAAATTACTCGGCATTCGAAGAAAAGAATTAGTTCTTATAGCAATAAAAACAAACACATGGCTAATATACTCGTTGCTTGATCATCCGAAAATTCGAAGACGCCGCCTCCTCGCTTCACATAATACGCACGAAGTAAAGAGGGGATATCATTACTGGATTTCCCAATACGACTAACGGAGAAGCTTATATTAAGTTCTACCGGATTAGAACGCCGGTCAACGAACTCGTCTTTATATCCGCTCGAGTCCTCCGATAATCATTTAACGAACTTTTCGAAAGTAATAACGCGCGCAGAATTGATGACGAAGAGACTCGCGGAATTCAGTCACCGTTGCGCGGCTTGGCGGTCGAGGTGAAAGGTAAGAAAGAAAAGTTAAAATAGTTCCTCCTCTTTGCAGTTAAAACGAGTCTAGATCACGCGGCAGGAAATTCCTTATATGGCAGTCGTTCCGCTAGAAGATTGAGATGATAAAATTGTATCTTGACTTGTTCCGCGATTCAAAATGACGAAATATCGAGCAACACGGATCGTGGCGATTTATAATAAGGAAGCTCATAAGAAGGAAAGTTTCGTGCCTCTAATAGATATTTTGCGAGGAAGCAACTAAAAATTGTGGCGGCAATATAATATAGCTATATCTTTCTTCCTTTCTCTTTGCATGTAACGTTAACAATATGAGACAAAATATATACAAATTACTAACTTTTTTTTCCTTACAAATCCTGTTATAAAAAGTAAATCATATTGTTCCGGGAACAATACCGTAACTATTTCCAAGAAATCAATGTATCGTACATACGAAATGCCGTGAACTGCAGACGAAAGGAAATTCTTCGCATAAAATTGTAGAAAAGTACCGTAAGATAATTCACGCGTAATACTCATTTTGTGCAAATCCGTAGTAGCTAATTACTACGAGTAACTCGTACGTGGAGTTGCATGTGTTGTTTTATCGTCAGTTGCTTTGCCAATTTAATTTTTCACACATATATAGAGAGAATGCTATAAGAACGCGTCTCGAGTCGGGTATAAACAGAGTAAATAACAGCTATACGATAAATAATAATCTAATTACTTTTTCTCTGATAATTATCCGCCTGATAATTAATGTAATTTAATTGGCAAGGTCACGTGATGCGTATTGCAGTCATGTTTACGTGATAATTTTTTAAACTACTATTTTATTAGCAAAATATTTAATAATTATTCTCTCTCTAATGAGAAATGCGAATATCTCTTTTAAATGGACGTGTGCGGTAACTGTATGCCATAGTTTGTCTCCAACATTTAATTTAATAATCATCGTTTTTCAAATCTGAAAGAATCGTTGGCAATGAAAATCCGATCTCACACACGACGATGGAGCACGAGTGCTGTATTTGTGTATGCACATATATACATGACACGGTCGTGTTCGGTGCACGCGTACACCCGTCCGTGAGTGCACACGCGGCTACAAAGTGTTACGTTTGTTATATGGCGGTCGCGGTATGTAGGTCAGGAAGCCGGCGTTACTAACAAGTGACTCGATTCGAGGTAACTCGTGAAGCAACACACACCGCTAGCTTTCGTCGCGCCGAATTTCCACCTTCTACCAAATCTGGCCTCTCGCTACTTTTCGATCCAATACCTCGTACGATATCGTGCCTCGTAAAGATGACCGCGAAGATAATGCCTTGCAACTTTAGTTCCGCGACCGAGGCACAAAGTAGCTCGAATCAGCTCAGTCGAGAGCTCACACGGTTAATCCGATGCGATCCACATTGCACAGTGTATACGCGCATCGCGAAATGACCGGTCAAGGTGTAGCGTTGAATAATTCAGCAATATTCGAAAAAAAAAATTTGTGTCAAGTATCTCTCAGGAACTGAATAAGATTGTACATAAATACAATGATTTCTGTTTTTTTAAATAATAATAATAATACAATAATTTTTTTTATAATATAATTATAGATTTTTATATAATTATAGATTTTTATATCATACAAAAGTAATTATTCACAAGTACTCATAAGAAATATTCACAACTCGTAATGAATCTGTTCCGCTGAACATTCGTCACGAGATCTTGGCTCTTCAGTGGGAGACTTTAATGCGCGGTATTAAATGTGTCGCGGAGCTCTGAATGCTTTCCTGCACGCACTGCATTTTCTACATCGAACATACGGCCAACGTTTTGATTCTCGCTTTGCTATCGGTCGAGTGTCCGCTCTACGGCAAAGTAGAATAAACAAGAGTTAGAGTAATCGAGAATCTCGCATGGCTGCATCGGTGCAGCGCGTCGTAAAGCAGCCGGCGTGAATGCAACGCATTCAACGCATGCGACCGCATACGGCGGCGATACGCGCGCGTATATGTAGAGGATGCCTTGGTCGCATGCTTGCGCATTTAATTTCTAATTGAATAATCGATCGTGACCTCTCTCTCTCTCTTCTTGATCGAGTGACACGGTATGCGGCAGGCAAACTATGCGTCATTGCAAAAACCCGGTTACGTAGCTTTCGACTTATTCATTGATGCTATTCTCTCTTGTAAGGAAAGAATTATGAATATATATATATTTATAAGATATTTTACATGAATATAAAGTACCCATAATCTTCGAAAAAATTTGCTTGATTTTAAATCATACAGTCGCGAATTAGTTCATTAGGCATTCGAAAACAAAAATTTATTTCTCCCATTGATGATATCGAAACAAATAACTTCGTATTAAGTAAGAATAATTATTATATGTTGTACGAACGCAGATAGAAAATATGTAGGGAATATAGAGAATTTCTGCAATTCTTTCTTTGCAATTTTTCGGAATTCTTAGTGATGCTAGCTGGAGCAGGAACAAATCCCGACGTGAAACACTTTTAAAACGCATGTAGACTATTAAATTTCATGGTTGTGCTGATCAGCACGCACGAGGCGCTCTGCAAAGATAGAATTATGGACGCTCCTCATTGTTAGCATCACGAACAAACTATAATTAACTCGGACGAGGAAGCGCCGAGGGTTAGGCAAGCGGGTTTAGGGTGACGCGGTTGGGTGATCGCCTTCTTACATTAGTCCTTCCTGCTTAAACGTAAAGAATCTAGGTTCTTTCTGACTTATGAGGAAATAAGATAACACGCTACATCTAAACAAGAAACTATATACATTTTATATGTGTAATATCTAAAATTCGAAAAAATAATTGTTTTAAAGATAAAATTAAAAAGGTGAAGAATGGAATTCAAGTAAATATAAAGTAAATACTTTATATAAATTTTTAAAACGTTTGGAGATTGCTGATTCTGTTGCACTGTATATTTTGCAAGAAGTATCTCTCTTCCGTTATTTATTTAATCTGCTGCGTTACGAAAAAGAACTTACTTACGCACGTACAAATTACAGTCCCACTTGTGCTTTTCGCAAAATTATACACATACTGCTCCCAATCGCGAGTACGCTTACAAATTGCCGTAGAATTTCCACGGGTTTTCACAATTACGTGCACTCTTGCAAGAACTTTGCATATGTTATTTCCTTCGAGATACCTTGTTTCCATTTTTGCGATCCCGTCATGTCGAGCGACGCACTTTGTGAAACTGTAATTATATCCCGTATGACGATTGTATGCTGGTAATTATCAATTATCATGTAGAATAGAAACGAGAATTATGCTAATCGGGGAGATTAATACTCTCTTAATCCTTGGAATTAACTTTGACATAAAGCGTCGGTTGTAACAACTCGGACGTTTTCGATATTTTACCGTAACAACAACGCGTTACGCGATGTACGTAAGCTGTGTGTAATATTTCGTCGTCGCGTTTGTTGCAATATTACAGCACTCTTATGATCTTCATTAACATACGATTACAAATAATTTAATTGGTAATTAAATATATACCAATATATTGTGACACATATCAGTTATATTTAATTGCGCTTTGACGAACGATTGAATTCATTAAATGCGTTAGTGACATTACAAATTCAATTATGAAAATTATAAATCAAAATATGTTTTATCATCAAAATATTTTTTATGTGTTTTAGAATATTTTAAAAGAAAATACACGTAGCCTTCCAGGCATGATTTCATATATCCAGGCAAAGATTACATATATTTTTTTCTCTCTACAAAGAGGGAGATGTTATACCTGCTGCAGAACGTTGCATTCTTTAAGATTAGGTTTAGGACCAACCAAAAATTCCTTCCTTATAAAACCTGACCGATAGTTAATCCTAAGGGATCGTGTTCTCGCTGCTCGCTAACGTGTTGGCTCTGCAGTTTGGCCTGAATACCTGAAGGAGAGGCGAATAAGTAAAAGAGGAGGGGATGAACAGTCAGTCAGTCGCATACAGGCCAGCCTCGTTCCTGATGGCAACCAGCACAGCGGTCGTTACCTGTTGAGGTGGTGGTAGCAAGGAACGGCAGGTGGGGGAGCAGAATACCTGGATGACTTCCTGCCACGGAACAGGCGCCTCAGTCCTCAGGTAAGAACGTCCGACGTCGGTTAGAGTGGTCTGCGAGAGTGGTGACCACGAGTTCTACCAGTTGGCGCACGAGCACCATCGTCGCATTAACCCCGTTCGAATTCCCCGGGTGGGAAACAGATATTCACGCACGCGTTTACTCGATTACCGCGCTTCGAACAGGCGATCGCGTTCAGTGCTGGAAAGAAAACTGTAGATAGGGTCGTTCGCACCCCCCAAAATCATGTTTTCTTTGAGGTGCATTCGGTGAACTTCTCTGACGGAGTGCGCTTGTTGCGGACACATTGATTATTGTTCCGAATCGGAATAATACCGCAACAGTTTCCTCGACAATTTTCCGGAACAGAAAGCGTTCAAGGCCGGAGTTTACTTGGAGGTTCGTGTTCATCAACGAAATGGAACGTAGGACACTTACACTTTGCTTCCTTTTCATCGTTCTAGCCGTCAAAGGTGCGTAAATTTTTTTTATCATTAATTCGGTAATTAAGTATATTAATAGTCATTTAATGTATATTTATATATTAATATAATTATACATTAAATGACTGCTGTATAAAAATTTCCTTAATTATATTTTTTTATTATTTAGGATAACGTAGTTTAAAGATACTCAAATAAAAATGTGCTGAAATTGTATTTCACATATATTTAAACAATAAGTTGACATTTTTGAATAATGTACGTGACAATATAAGTTAAAATTTTTAGCTAAATTTTCAGCTAAATTTTTAGCAATTAGATTTTGCATAGGTAATATTATTTCTAATAAAAATATGTATAACAACTTTAATATAACAGATACATAATAAAAGTTATAATAATTAAGTACACGGAAAGAACGATTTTGTTGAAAGGTCTAAAAATTTAGCTAAATACAGATCTGAAAACAATTTTTTGTTGAATCAGCAAAATAATTTGCTGGAATGTTAAAACTGATAAACATTGCTATAAAACGTTTTGATATTCTAGTAATCATTTTGACTTTCGTGCGATTATTGAACAAAAATTATTTTCAGATCTGGATTCAGAAAAATTGTTCTTTCCGTGTATGTATCTAATTTACTAAATGAACGCAAATATATTAATCTTTAGTTTCTTAATAAACTTATTAGAAAAAAAATAATTTAAAATTTCTTTTAACATAAAAATATAATCAAAATAATATTTTTAAATATTTTTATAAGTGTTAATTGTTTAATCAATAGAAATGATGGATTGTCTTGTTTCTGAAATTACATGCGTACCCTTAGAGAACGATTAACTATATATTTTATTATACGCACAAATGAATGAAAAAACTTGTATCTCTCTCGTACTTTCATTGCATAAAATAAAACGCGATATGAAATCGATCATTTTCGTGATTGCCTTAATCACGCTTTTGTGTAACGCATCATTATGAATTTTCCATAAAACGTAATTGGATATTTTTTTAGAAATCTTTAATATAGCGGATAGGCATTTCGTGCAAAGATGGATTAATCTCCCGTGGAAAATATAATGGCTCATTAACGCACTGGGGAGATTATAATAATCATTACTGCACCCCATTCACTTGTCGCTTTCTAAACGCCAAGATATTTAATGAGTCGAGTGTCGACTGATTATGAGACAATGCTTACAGTTCGTAACGACATTCTCTACTTTACGTACCATTGAGACACTCTATTTTGCGGAACTGGCCGCGAAACAACCGCTAATCAAGCACGCATATACAAGACGGCGCCTAATCGAACGTTCGTTATAGATTAATTATACGATCTTCTAAATATTAGTGCCAACTTTCGAATTTTGTTTCAGTTATATACACACGAATTATTACGTCGATATAAATTTGATTAGGATTTTCATAAAGTAGACAAAACGAATTTTTCAAAATAGAAAAACCTGCTTATCTCTTAAAATAACAGTCTCATAAAATAATCTCTTAAAATAATTTTATTCGCATTGATAGTGGAAAAAAAATTCGTATCGTATGCAAATTGAATGTAATCACTCAAATAAGCAATATATTGCATTTCTCTACGTAATGTAGTAGATACAATTTTCTATTATAATAATTAACCGATAGAGATATCACATGTGCAATTCAATTCGGGGTCAAGATCATCCCACGCTCGCGGCGTTATTGAAATTAACAACGGATTACCGAAGCATCCGTTTACATATGCAATTTGCAGACGAGAAGTATCTAAAAATAAGTGAAGCTTACTCGTTAATTAGCGCATAATGTATGTAATGCGTGCGCGTCGTAGTCTGCGCGTATTTCGTGAGAGGATACACACACCGATTCTTCTTTATCTGATCTAAAATTTCACTCGGCGTCAGCGTCCGTGACGACAAACTGGATTTGCGCGTTAAGACTTATTTAAATGATAACGCGACTGACAACCGGCAAAGTGTCTCCAATTTAATTTAGCGCCGCGGATAACGTTTAAATATATTTTTACAAGTACTCTGATTATTCCGTAGAAACTCTTAGCTTAAGCGCCGATCGTGCTCTAGCTGTCTCGCGCGATTATTCCGCGTGATAGTCCATGCGTAGATTCAATTTCTATCTTCCGTCCGGTTAAGCGGGATAGTTCTTCAACGTCGTGTTAGCGTACAAGACCGCTACGCTCGCTCTGGAGGGGCACGTGCTCGTCGTTGCCACGCATAAACGCACGTCACGTAAATGAGACGTGGCTGTACTTCACGCAGCACGCGTTCTCATCTCCACCGCGCACGCAGGTAATCGTCGACTTTCCACGATCCCCCGTTCGTTTTTCCACGCCGTGGAAAGTGCAGCCGGCGCGGCGGAGCGGTTTTATCGCGGCAATAATGCGTGAGAAGTTCACGAAGATTCGTAGCCCGACTATATCGCTCGGTCGCGAAACGCTGTCGTGAGGAAAGTCGTTTCTACCCATTTATTCGCAGCATGTTACCGCGAAACGCAGAATTTTTATTGTAGCGCGGAATATATTATAAATTTTACGCAGAACGTCCTCAGAAAACGGATATTTCCTTTTAATTCTAAATAATTTAACGGTAAATTCCGTCAAATTTGCTTTCGTATCAGCGATCAGTTTTTATTTACAGCAAATTCAGTGATAATTTTTATAATTCTTTATTGATTAATGTGGCAATGCGGTACAATAGATCTATGAAATATAAGTTACACTTTTATTATTAAGTTGAGGCCTTGTTTCTTTTGGTGCATTATAGTTTCTCTTATATAGCAAGCAATCGATAATGGAAGAAGTTGGACACACGAAGGAAAGGTCCTCTCATCATTTCTCAATTTACATGTTACCCTAACACGTACAAGACCACTTCCGTAGGTTAATGACCGAGATTGTCTCGCGGTAAAGTGGCGGTTACTTGCATTTCCCACGTGTCGCCGTGCGCGTCAAACCTTTTTTTTTTCTTCCGCACGCTCTTCAAACACTTCCTCCAACCGCACGTTCTCGACCAGCTGCCTTCTTCCAATTGCCAATTGCGTTGAGTCATATCCAGTTATTGTCCTCTCGAGTACGTGCCGTTTCCTGTTGAAACGACAAAAGATCAATGCTGTAACGTTATCGTTAAATCGATCGGTGTCAGGTGTCAACTAGGACGCGAGCGGGTTTCATCATTACTCATTGTTTTATCGAGTTCAATCTCTCATCGTTGACAGATATTCATCATCATTTAATATTCATATTCTCGTTTCAACAAAATCTAAATTAATAAGCAGATAATTAACAGATCTTCACATACGCATTTATTAAACAGCGGCCCATCTTTATGATTCGTAAGAGATATGACGATGTTACAAACATGACATCAACGATATTACCAACTATATCCGACTTGCTAAATAATGTCATCAGCGCTAGACTTAGATACTACCGCAAATCGAGAAACGTAGTTTGATTTAAAAATAAACGCTATTAGACAATCCTAATTTACCTTAATGTATACAAGCAATTTATTTTGTATCAAGCTTTTACTGTCGCCAGTATACTTAAAAAATTATTATGCATACTATTTTTTTTGTATTTTAATGAAAATATTTATAATTATTGTTGTGATCTAAAAACGAATTGATGGTAGCGCTGACAATGAGTGTTAAATTTAATTCTATCTTATGATTTCAGAAATATATCAATTATTCGCTTTTTAACCATTGTTCACCGTCTAATATCACTTAGAAACAGTATATAATCAGCTTTTGATTCTCAGAATTATCGACAGAATTGTTGGTTCTCGTGACAAGTGCATTCACTTCCGTCGCATTATAGGACTAATCGCAGCTTCGTGCACATACGGCTCACACGTATCGCACCTTGAAAACAAAAGGTCGGTGCGTTTAATTAGCTCGGCTCAGTACCCAATTTCCCACAATTCCGTGAAATAACGGGAGTACTCGGCGAACAGGCAGGAAAAAGAAGGCGAGTCCGCTGTGTACCTTTTCTCTTCTACTTATGCCCTGATTATCTACTTTTCTTACGGCGTGGGCGAAACCCCGAACATTAAAAACCACGTGCTGAACTACATTTGAACAAAAGCCAATGAGTGCAAGTTAGTAGAATCTGTGAGAAACGAAACTTAGTAGTAGTAAAAAGAAAAGTATTTATATAAGGTCATGTATCTTGTGTACACAGAAAGAGAAATTCGTTTATAATTGTTAATTATAACTCCAAATCGAATATGATTACGAATTAAAAAACTTGGCAATCCAATATAATTCAATATAATGAATTTTGTATTTTTTATAATACGAGATATCTTGAACTTGTAATCGAAGTTGACATAAAATTATTAAATATAAATATTACAGCAATTACGTAATTTCGGAAAAAATTCTTAATAAAAGTTATAACATGCACTTGTATTCGTTTATCGAATAAAAGCTTCTCTCAAGATTTCTCTCATCAGTAATCAATAATCCTATATTATTTAATTTTAACATGATTGTAAGAGTTATATTAGAAAATTGTCTCCAAAATTGTGTGATTTAGATCCAAATATGATCACAATAACTGAGCGTTAAAAAAACGTTTCAACCTCATACACTTTGAAAGAATCGTAATTGTAAGCTATCGCTCTTTATTGTCATCAAATACAGGCTTTTACGCGCGAATAACAAAATTCGAAAGTAATAATGGTAATCTGTTAAATGTATTTGTCACGGTGGCAAGGTAAGATGATAGACGCGGTACGACAATCGCTTCATTTTAAAGATAACGGTGAAATAGCAGTGACCTGATATTTACACCGGAATAACTTTTATCCTTTCCATGCGATTCCGACGCGTTGTCTCCATTCTACTGTCCTACATAGGCTCATTTACTCAAGGCACGTGCTACTTACCATTGTATTTCGAACGCGATTTATCCGAACGTCCAAAAGTGACTTGTAGGAGGAGAATTGTGATAACATAAGAGAGAAATGTGATTGCACACCCGGCGAAACTTCATAACCGGTGA